GGTTTATAAATGTTGGTTCTCTTCTATTGGCTAAGATTCTGAAACTTAATCCAAATCAAATAGCATTACTACCTAAAAATTGTGTTTTTATATTTTAGGAACCCTGATTGCTGTCCTTCAACATGTTCATTATGAAGTTTTTAGTAATACTTTTGTTTTCTGGACTTATAACGGGTTGTAGAGGTAACTCTTCCTATAATTTGCCACCCAAGTTATTACTGGTGTCCTTTGATGGCTTCAGAGCTGACTATCTGAAGAACTATGAATTTCCTCATCTCCAGAATTTTATCAAAGAAGGTGTCTTGGTAGAGAATGTTAAAAATGTTTTTATCACAAAAACATTTCCAAACCACTACAGTATTGTGACGGGTTTATATGAAGAAAGTCATGGCATTGTGGCTAATTCTATGTATGATGTAGTCACAAAGAAACATTTTTCCGACTCTAATGACAAGGATCCTTTTTGGTGGAATGAGGCAGTTCCTATTTGGGTGACCAATCAGCTTGAGGAAAACAGATCAAGTGCTGCTGCTATGTGGCCTGGTACTGATGTACCCATTCACAATACTATACCTTCCTATTTTATGAATTATAGCTCCTCAGTGTCGTTTGAGGAGAGACTGAACAACATTACCATGTGGCTAAACAATTCGAGCCCACCAGTCACCTTTGCAACACTCTATTGGGAAGAACCAGATGCGAGTGGCCACAAATACGGACCCGAAGATAAAGAAAACATGCGCAGAGTGTTGAAAGAAGTAGATGATCTTATTGGTAACTTAGTACAAAAGCTCAAGATGTTAGGATTGTGGGAAAATCTTAATGTGATCATTACAAGTGATCATGGGATGACCCAGTGTTCTCAGGACAGAGTGATAAATTTGGATCTCTGCATCGATAATTCAAGCTACACTCTTATAGATTTGAGCCCAGTTGCTGCAATACTTCCCAAAATAAGTAAGTACACTTTTAGCTGAGGGATACTACTATTTGAATGGGGCAATTGATAGAGGAGGGAGAGTTGTGTAAAAGAGTGAAGTTCTGGCTTTTCGTATAATAGTTCAGAGCCATATACTCATACTTACTCAGATGGGATTGTATGTTTTTTCCCCCTAATTTATAAGTTTTGAGTAATTGGCTTATGATTTAGGTTCAAAGTGATTATTTCTTTGCTTATTGACATATTTCTTAATTATTCACACTAATGGAAAAAGGAAATTTTTATCCTTAAACATCTTGGATTTTAGTGTGAGATGCCTTTCTTCTGCTGATCATGGAATTAGTAATTAGTAGTAATGTAATTAGTTCATGTTTACTTAGGAAGCTAAACATGAAAATTGTCCCCTATCTGTAAAAGTCCACCCGGATAATACACAAAATGAAACAAGAGATATGTGAATGCTTGAGAAAGGTGTGTGTATCAGTGTCCCGCATTGTCATATTATTAGTGCTGGTTGTTTTAAGAATTAAGTGATTTAATAGTTGACGTTGTCCAGAATTTATTTCCAGTTATTCTAGTTAGACATATTTTTTCCTTATCAGTCAACTGTAACTTTTTTTCTTTGCTATTTTCTTTTTCTTTCAGATAGAACAAAGGTTTATAATGCACTGAAAAACTGTAGCACTCACATGAATGTTTATCTCAAAGAAGACATTCCTAACAGATTTTATTACCAACATAATGATAGAATTCAGCCTATTATTTTGGTTGCTGATGAAGGCTGGACAATTGTGCTAAATAAATCATCACAAAAATGTAAGTATATATTTGGGATATTTCTGTTGTACCCTAGGGACAAATCACAACACTGTGATACTATTCTGTTAAGAAGGTACTTTGATTTAGAAATGTTTACACAGAATAATTCAATTTCCAACTAGATAATTCTCAGGTCTTCATTTGGTAGCAATTTACACTAACCACAATTTGACCCCTAGATTAGAAGGCTAGATAATCTTAAGGGTCAAGGCATAGTTTCACCTTCTTACCAAAACTGCAGTTATTGTCAGTAATTTTCAAGAGTAGTTATCTTGATTCGTAGAAAATAAGTAAAGAAACAAAGAAAATTAAAAAAAGTAAAGAAACAGTACAAGGGGAGAGATTAGCTAGTTCAAACGTTCTTTTCTTGTGTGTGTTAAAAACATTTGTTGGAGTAACCTTAAATCTTTCCCCAATAGTAAAATCATTTACCAGAATGCTACAGGTGTACTGTGCAAGAACGACAGAGTAAACAAACAAACATATCCACCAAGTAAACAAAATAGATGTGTCATAGTCTCTCCTAAAACTGAGAAAATGTATAGGGGAGAGGTACAGATCTCACCTAAACTGAAGCTTATTTGTCCGTTTTTTATATTCAATTTAAATACTTTTTTTAAAAAATCTGATTTT